AGAACACAAACTCCACATGAACCAGCCCCTGAACACAACCCACTCATTAGAGAACACAAACTCCACATGAACCAGTCCCAGCAGGAAGCTGCTAATGTGGAGCTGCCCGCCCTAAACGGCCAGCGATTTCTGATGGGATTCAGAGAGGGTAGTAATGGACCCTAACCCTAACCCTAACCCCCTGACCACGTGTTAGACAGGAAAACATGCAAACTCTGGACAGAAAGACTCCAACTGAAAATTTCAGGCTGCAACGCATGTGTGATCCAAACTTTAGAGTGGTTACACTTTCTGATTGGGAAAACAATGAAACTCAGGCAAAAAAACAACTGTTAAAAAGTCAGAAACCTCCAAATGGGATGAAAAATACAAAAGGGTTATGTCACATGCATTTTCAGTGAGTTCCTGACACATTAATGGAATAACCGCTAATCCATGAGAGCTTTAAGTACGTTTAGTTCCATTTCTCAGCTCTGGTGCTTAATTCCTGCATCTTCCCTGAAACAAACACATGCACAATGTAAGGCATAAACATAACACACCCCCACCCACAAACTGTGTAAATCACGGTATCACACCACTCGCGGCCTCCCACTAATCGCTCCAACTAATTATACTTTCCTGAACTCTGGGCTGTTATAAATACATGCAGGGGAGGACAGGAGCAGCTCCGAGTTTCAGTGATGAAACTAATGAGGATGTTATGATCACGCAGACGCCTTTCTGAGCTCCCGCTCATTTTCTGTGGATGAAACCTGCAATAACAGCTAGCAAAAGCTTTCAAACTGCTTCAGACTGTGGTCAGCAAAAGGAATGATCAGCAAATACGTGCTTCAGTCCCTATTTCATCAAAGAGCACAACATGTCTTTTCTGTCATTTAAAAAAAAAGCTTTGATTGCAACCTAAAACAACTCTAAAATGAGTTGGAATAGCTACACGTTACCAACTAAAACTCAGTAAAAAATGATTTGTTAAAAATCAGATTAACGATTTTCAGCATGACACTGAACTGTATCGTTTCCCCTATCCTTGTTTTTCTATGGTCAGCATGTAAAATCTCTTAGATTTTATTTGCAGGAAACTGATTTAGCTACCTTGGCTAATAACGCTGGCTAATTGAAAGCCAAGATAACCAACATACTGACCCTGCTTTCTTTTTAATGAGCACACATTGGATTAACACATACAATCAGCTTCAATTTTGGCATCAAAGCAACTAAAAGCAGCCACAAAGAGAGACAAATGTTATTAACTACTGACGTCTTCATTATTAAAACCAAAAGCAGCTAGTGTTAGCCACACAGGCTAACAGGTGCCTGGACACTATCATTCCAGCAGCAGGTTCACGTCATAATAAGTTCGCTTTCTTTGCTCTTTCTGCTCTTTCTTCTGCTCTGGAAACATGTCAACGTCCGGATTTTGGGCCGAGAGTTGAATCTCATTGATTTCTGTGGAGAAATATCCTGTTTCCGATCATCCGAACAGAGCGAGTGGGAGTCAGAGCGGAGGAGGAGGAGGAGGAGGAGGAGGAGGAGGAGGAGGAGATAGGAGGAGGAGGAGGAGTAAAGAGGAGGAGTAAAGAGGAAGAGGAGGGTTAAAGAAACCGTCCAGAGCAAACCGGTGAAACATTACAGCTGGATTCTTCCCACAAACCTCTGTTGTTTCTCATTTGTAAAGTCGGAATTATTATGCTGCAGAATTTCTTTTCAGTGTTTCTCCAAATCCCCTTTTTAAAGAATCACACAAACCAGCAGACTGAAGTCATTCTGGTGCTGATTTCCAAACCAGTTTGCTCCTCTTTTTTCTTCCATTTCCTCCACGTGTCTGAGTTGCATGTTTGTAAAGTTCTGCGTGGAAAGCTGCAGATGTCTGGAGCCCTGAGCCAGAACTGAAGCAAAGCTGATCATTCCATATCATTTTCATTCCAGTGACTCGCCAAATAGGAAAAATAGCAGAACTAAATCCAATTCTAAACGAGTCTGAA